AACCAGCTCTCACTCTGAAGATCATTACCAACTTTGTTTGACCTGGCAGATTTCCTTAAATGTTTCCCTCGGTTAGGTCACAGTTATTTTTTAAGACTTACCTTTATAAAAGCATAGCCAACACCATTATCTGTAATGGTGAGACCAAGTGAATCCTCAGATTTATACACATTCACTTCTTTTTTGATCCCCTTGACATGTGCAAATATGAAATCTTCAAGACCTATTTGTGCTCCTAAGAGTTTTTCCATGTTAGGTTTAGGTGTGTTTAAAGTGCAATATAAGATCTGCAAAGAGAAAAAAATATTTTAGTTTCCATCAGGAAAACATTCTGGTCATTAGTTTACTGAATAAACACTTGAGTGAAATAGTCCTTAATTTGATATAAGAAGTTACATCAGTAACATTAGGTAATATGTATTGTTTGTATAGGCCAGACTCTGTGCTAAGCAATTTACATCCATTATCTTATTTAATCCTCACAATAACTTTATAAATACATTATCATCTCCATATTACAGATGAGGATATTGAGTGAGTAAATAATTTACCTAAGGTTACTTGTCAAAGCCAGGATTCCAGTTCAGGTCTCACCAATTTCAAAGTGGTTTAAACTTGCTACCTCTCATTTATAATGCTGAAATCAAAGGTTGTGCTCCCAAAGGCAAGGGTATAATACGCACACCACAATGAAAATAAAGGTAAGGCTACTTTTGAAAACTAGTCTAAAAAAATGTAACAAGGAAAATTGTATTTATCTTGCATTATAGTGCTTGAGAAAAGTAATTTAATTAGTGAATGAGGTGCTAAAATGAAAATGTCTAAAACACACACAAAAATAGACCTTAAAGATCAGCTAATCCAAACTCTTAACTTTAAAAAAGAGGGACAGAGGGGAGAGGGGAGAGGAGAGGAGGGAGGGAGGAGGTAGACAGAGGGAAAAAATTTTAAATCATTTCTTCAATTAAAAAAATAAATTAAAAAAAATAAAAAACAGGGGGTGGCTCCATAGTGTAGTGGTTAGCACGTCTGCTCTACACACAGAAGGTTCTGGGTTCATGCCCCAGGTGGAGCCACGGACCATACCCCAGGGGCACCAGGTCCCCGGGGTATATGCGGGAGTATAGAAGGAGACTCCCTGCCTTCAGAGATCCAGTTCTTAAGGGAAAACAGCAACATCCATAGGTCAGGGGTGGAAGTTGGCGGTGGGGGTAATTGAAGAGGGGAAAATAAAATTAAATTAAAATTAAATAAAAAAATAAATTTTAAAAAAAGGAGGGAACTGAGGTCTGGGGAGCTTCATGCCACTTCGTCAAATTCACATGATGGTAGAGACAAAATAAAAAACAGTAAAAAGTTGTGTGGAGATTTTAAAGGGACTTGTGTTTACCAAGCCTTTATTTGACCTCATTTTCCATCAAAAACTGATTCATTTTACTAAAATCTGCAGTGCTACTCTTAAGTTTGTCAAGCCATAGTTTGGGTAATTTGTGAGACCCAAATACAAAATTATGCAAAAGGAGAAGGGTTGAGAATATATCACTGGTTTAAAAATAATGTTTCAACAAACACTTATTGAGTACCTTCAATGTATCAAACCAAATAATTAATACAGTTGTTTTATATCAAAACAGCTAAATGAAAAAAAAATTTTAACTTTTTTATTAAGTCACACTTGCCACAGATATTGTTAGTCCTTTCTTCATCCCTGAGCCTTGCCTCAACCCTCTCCCTATATTTCTAAGTTTCATATCATTCATAATTCTCAATGGAACCTTGAGCCTTAACACATCTATAAACCTCATGAATTTCAGAAACGGTGCTATTACTGCATATTAAATAGCTTTCTAAGCTACATCAAAATGTATCTGAATTGAAATAGCTCTTCCCTGCTACACAATTAAAGGTCCAGCATGGTCAGCAAAGCTCTGAGCAAACCAGAGGTGTATGAAAGAAGCTACTGACGAGGACAAGGAAGTATACAAAAGAAAAAAGGCCTGCAAGGACAAACTACTGCCCCCCGCCCTTTCCTTTTTTCATCTAGTTCTGTGGTGAACTGTGTTAACTCGTTGGTCTTTAAATTTAACCCTTTGTGTTTTCAAGGAGGACATAATATATTTGGCTTTGTAGTTAGTAAGTTTTTGCAAATATTTCTAGTGTAAAAAATGTATTATTTACAGAAAAAAAGTCATTTAAGCCGACAATGTTTCCTATTTCTTATTTTAATTGTGAAATTAGTGGTATAATTAGTCCATTAACAAAAATCATTAATAATGGGTAGAGGATGAAGTGAGTATGCATAGAAAACAGTTTCTGACTTCCTTTCTCAAAATGATGGGAAGGGAATAAAGAAATAAACATAGTTGTCTCCTTATTCTTTTTCCAGTGAATCTGTTAATGGTATTCATAGTGGATCCCAAACACCACTAATGTAAAAGCAATTTACCAAGTAGACAGGAAATAAAATGTTAAAACATAATGATGATATAAGAGAAAACAGGGAAAAGCCTTCAAAAGGAAATCCCACACAAAGTGAAATTCTTGTTACTAAGCCGCTTCCTTTCTTTCAATTTTTTGCATGCTTTACTGTAGAGCAATTAGATTTCCTGTAGATATAACCCTTTTTCATTGTGTTTCCTCCCCTGCAAAATAATGTTCCATTTCAAGAAGCTAAAAGTTGGCAGGCAAGACATCATTTTTTTCTGGAAGGAGTGGAGCTGGCGATATCCTTCGTGGAATGGAGCTCCACAGAAAGCTGTGTTGAAAACCTGTGGGAATGTAATGGTCACCAGGAGGTCGAGTAAGAGTCCTCTGTAGCAGCAGATAACTAAAACTCCATGACTTCAGATCAGTTCTTCATGGGAGAATAAAAACCTAACACTCACACAACCTCAATGCATAGCGATCAGCAAATATATCTATAAGTATGTGATAAGGGTATAAAAATTCAAACACATTCTCTGCACTGTATTTTGAACTGAAAAATAAGAAAATGATATACCACTTTCTATGTTGCAAAGATCATGCTCATTCATCCACTCACCAATTACCTACTGGACAACCTGCTTTTTGCCCGGTTCTGTGCGGCACGCTGGATGTGCAATGATGAATATGACTAGCCCTTATATGCAAGAAACTCCTCAGCTAGCAGATGCTCCACTGAAGTAGTGAGGCACATGAGCCAGTTGTATGTAACATATTAAAATCCATGAATATTTAAACCAAAGGAACCTCAAATACATGCTGTATATTTCTACCTTCATTCATACTTTTTCCTTCAATCCAAAATCTAAAATGCCTGTCTGCCCACTCCACTCATATGCCCTTGTCAAATGAGAGACTGTGCAAACGTGACTGCCCAAATGGAATCAATCTCTCTTTCCACTTTTCTCACAGAGTTTAATTCTAGTACCTCATTCGAGTGTCTGAGTCACCTTGCCTTGAAGTCCAACTGGTGTAACACATACCTGTCACTCTCACTCTGAAAGAGATATCTTAGTCATCTTTCTCTTTCCTACAACATCTAACAGTGCCCTGCTCAGTTTATATCTTGACGGCATTTACAGCACACATTCACTTTATTTAATTCAACATATCTGTGTATTGGGTTTTATTATTTTCATTTTGTAGATGAAAGAATTACGATTTTTATCCAATTAACATCATTAATAAATGTGTGATGTTAAAAGATTTAAAAAAAAAAAACAAGAAAAGAAACAATGAAGCAGTCATATTACCAATGTCCCTTTAAGAATGTTTGCTTCCAGCATATAAGTATACTAGATAAAAGGCAGTAAAATGTAGTACTTAACATCGTTTTTTATACTCTTCAATGAACAAACTAAGCTAAATCAAAAGAAAGCAAACTCAAGGCAATTTATCATGTAAGGAAAATGATCCATTCATTAAATATTCACCATCATTACCAACTTTTCTAAGACAGAAAGAGTACTCATGACTATTCCGTTTTCTAGAGTAGCACTGCCCAATAGAAATGTAACTTGAGCCACATAATTTTAAATGTTCTAATCATCACATTAACAATAGTAAATAGGTGAAATTAATATAATTTACTCAATTAAATAACCCCTTATATTCAGAATATCATTTCAACATATAATCAATATAAACATTATTGAGATAGTTTACATGTTTTATTAAGTTTTTAAGATCTGGTGTGTATTTACCCTTATAAATATATCTTGTACCTTACCTCAGTTGGGACTAGCCATATTTAAAGTACTCACTATTCATATCTGGCTAGCAGTTACCATACTGGGCAGCTCAGTTCTAGAATCTCATGTTTTTATCAACTTCATACCTTGTATTTTCCCCATCTCCATATATCTACATATGTCATTCCCTTCTTTGGCCAAAAATGCTATAGCTCAAACACAACTTTTAAACCCAGTCTATGTCTGTCAAAATCTTTCCCATTCAATAAAGTCTGGCTAAACTACTATATTTTCTATTACTATCATCATGGACTAACTTTATTTCTTCATCTTCTACATACCTATTAAATTTCATACATCTCCTGTGAAACTTACCATATGTTGCTCCATAAACTTTTAGTAAGTAAAGATTTATCTTATTGTGTGCCTGTCACTGTGCCTTATCTACAGGAGAGATGGATTAATGGAAGGAAAAATCTATTACCCTTTGAGGCCAGATGATAGAGGTCCTTGAATTGTTATTGTGCTGGACATCAATATCTACATTGTCCATTCCCCTTCCCCTGATTTTTCTTTGGAAATTTCTCCTTCCTCATTTTAAGCCATATGTTAGCTTGGATGGGAGTGATCCCATTCTCAGTTTCAAGAGAAATGAATCATGACTGGGTTTAAATCGGTTAATGACTAATTCATAACCCAATTTAGGCCAAAGATTCAAAAAAAAAAAATTTATTGGGGTTTCTGAGGAAAGAATCTTCTCTTTTCTGCTGTCTGTCTGTCTGTCCCTCTGTCCGTCCCTCACTCCCTTCCTTCTTCTCTCTCTGATGTGGAGTTTAAAACTACTGCAGCTAATACTGCAACATTCGAAGAGTGAGCCTGGGGACCAAGCTGACAGATGGAGAAGGGCAGAACCTCTAGATTCAGTCTTACCTAAGGACAATACTGGACACTAGAAGTACTCTACCTTTTTCTCATTTTAATATAACCTTCAGATATCATCCATACCTTTTATGTGTTTTGAAGGAAAATGATTCACATCCCCTGTTCCAGGCATAATACTTAAACTGGTCTAAGTGGTGATTTAGGACTAAGAATATGGCTCAATCCTGGCC